TTTCCAAATCCCAAAATCTCAAATTTCCCAAATTTTCCAAATCCCAAAATCTCAAATTTCCCAAATTTTCCAAATCCCAAAATCTCAAATTTCCCAAATTTTCCAAATCCCAAAATCTCAAATTTCCCAAATTTTCCAAATCCCAAAATCTCAAATTTCCCAAATTTTCCAAATCCCAAAATCTCAAATTTCCCAAATTTTCCAAATCCCAAAATCTCAAATTTCCCAAATTTTCCAAATCCCAAAATCTCAAATTTCCCAAATTTTCCAAATCCCAAAATCTCAAATTTCCCAAATTTTCCAAATCCCAAAATCTCAAATTTCCCAAATTTTCCAAATCCCAAAATCTCAAATTTCCCAAATTTTCCAAATCCCAAAATCTCAAATTTCCCAAATTTTCCAAATCCCAAAATCTCAAATTTCCCAAATTTTCCAAATCCCTAAATAAACTCCCCACCTCCCTACTTCCTAAATTACCAAATTCCACAATAATAAGATAACTCCTGTCATCCTCCATAAAATGACATTATATTCTGTTCATCCAAACCTCCCAAGAAACGATATTACCAATGATTAATTAAAACTATCGAAAACTCCGATCGAAAGGAAATTCAGTCGAAAATCGGAGGAGAGCATATTTCTGCAGAATGAAATATTTCAAGTTTATCGAGCTTCTGCTAAAAGAAAAACGTCGGACCAAACGAGCGAGCGTATCGAATGAAATTCCGAAAGTTCGCAGCGTGCGTGGAACAAGCCTAGCTACATGTGATTAGAGAGATTAAAGGGAAACATTTTAACGTAAACGTTCCGAGAGAATTTAATTCACCTGAAAGCTTTCGGAGGGTATCGCCACGTTTCCAAAGTTACTGCAAAATTCACTTTGCGATGGGATCTGTGTGCAATTGCAATATTTTCAATAATACGATCGGGGTCTCGAGTTTTTATCTGGGACAGAGTATACAATTTACAATCTTTTAACGACGTTTCTTCGAGATCTGTCATTGATATTTCATTTTCATTAATACGTTTTCTCGCTAATTGGAAATATTTTAGTACTACACAATTCTTGATTCTTTGGTTTTTAAGCGAAAAATATTGTGACGAAAATTTTTTTTTACTTCATTGCATCTCTTGTCATGTGGTGACGCACTCGTGACGCACATTAGAGTTCATACTTGATAAATTTTCATTTAAATTTAGTGATGGTCAAGTTTACATATGTGTACATATATAGAGTTTTACATTTGTATGAATTTCTAAAATTTTTTAATGTGGAGCACTTGTCATATCGTGACGCACTTATGACGCATACTACAGTTTATACTTGCTAAATTTTCTTTTAAATTTACTGATAATCAAGTTCACATATGTGCACATATATAGAGTTTTAAATTTTTATGAATTTCTAAAATTTTTTAATGAGGACCACTTGTCATATCGTGACTTACTCATGACGCACACTACAGTTCATATTTGATCAATTTTCATTTAAATTTACTGCTTGTCAAGTTCAAATAGATGTACATATACAAAGTTTTAAATTTTCATGAATGTCTAAAATTTTTTGATGTCGACCCCTTGTCATATCATGACGCACTCGTGACGCAGCCTACAGTTCATATTTGATAAATTTTAATTTAAATTTACTCGTTGTCAAGTTCACATAGATGTACATATACAAAGTTTTAAATTTTCGTGAATGTCTAAAATTTTTTGCTGTCGACTCCTTGTCATATCATGACGCACTCGTGACGCACCTTACAGTTCGTATTCAATAAATTTTCATTTAATTTTACTGCTTGTCAAGTTCACATAGATGTACATATACAAGGTTTTAAATTTTCAAGAATGTCTAAAATTTTTTGCTATCGATCCCTTGTCAAATCATGACGCACTCGTGACGCACACTACAGTTCATATTTGATAAATTTTCATTTAAATTTACTCGTTGTCAAGTTCATATAGATGTACATATACAAAGTTTTAAATTTTCATGAATGTCTAAAACTTTTTGCTGTCGACTCCTTGTCATATGACACACTCGTGACGCACACTACAGTTCAAACTTGATAAGTTTCATTTAAATTGCCCTGATTAAAATTTCATTTAAATGGCTTGTCAAGTTTACATACATGTACATATACAGAGTTAGAGTACAAGTCAACTGACAATGCAATTATCAATATTTTTTTCTATAACCTAAAAATGTTGCAATGTTCTGAAAAGTCTGAAAAGACTATTGTTCACAAGTATGTAGAATAGTTAGAAAAAGAATAGAGATCGTTAAATCTTCTTCGTCGGCCGTTGCATGCTTTCACGATTTCTCGATGTAGAGCTGCTCTCGAATCAGGTTGAAAACCGACCGACCGACTCTCGATCGTCGATCCGTGACACCTTAAGCGTGCTCTGCCTTGACTAGACACACACACAAACACATCTACAGCCGGTGAAATAAAACGAGCAAGTTATGCCACTTTTTCCGGCTTGATCTCCCTCTACGAACGTTTACGGCTAACACATACCGGGTGTCCTTGCGGAATGAAAGTACAGCCGGGAAACGTGACTTCTCCTTCTACCTATGAGTAACGCCGCTCGAACCGCAAGTTTGCCGATCGATCGCCGATTATACTCGTATCGAGAGTATTTAGAATGTTCCTGGGCTTTCACGAACGGAAAAGGATCGATTTCGAGAGAAAAGTTGCGAAATTGTAGCGCGTTCGAGGCTCGATAGGTTAATTAATAAATTCGAACGCATTCCGTATTCGTTACGAATCGTTGATCACATGTGAAATCCCTTTGCATCGTTTTCGAGTAATTGCTCGGATAGAAAGCGTAAAACAATTCGGAGGATATTGGAAATTCTACTCGTATTTGTATACGCGGTTATTATAAATTTAAACAGAATTTGAAAACTGAAACTGAAATGCGAATAAGTATGCAAATATCGCCAGGCAAGTATGGGCCGAATCAACTGGGCTGGCGTTTGAATTAATATAAAGAGGCTTAACAAAGTCGAGGCAGTTGCCAACCATACTAATGCGTCATGCTGATACAGAGCTAAGTGAATTTAACCGGTATTCGCGAGAGAAGTTGGCCCGGGACAACGAAATTGCACGAATTATCTCCTAGACGTTGTAGCAGGCCAGCTGCAATAATTCACGAGTTAACCGTCGCATTTGGAATAACAATCTACAAAATCTTGAGCGGCGAGTTCAACGATGCTTTTATGTTAATTCTGACGCATTAGAATTCCTGTCGCGACAGCCGAAGGACATCAGATGGGCGCCGCTGGACGGCGATGTTGCGAATTTTATTTCTCTCGACAAATGGCCACTTCGCTTCGTGTTACGTTTGCTAACCTCTCGCATACGTAATTCCCTAAACGATTAGCAACGTTCCATACTTTGCAACATAACGTTTACATAGCTCTCTCAAAAAGACCTGCAAAAATCTCGGAAACATTTGCAGGTTAGGTTTCCTATGGATCCTTAAAAAATGGCGGGCGATTTGAAAACTTACAAACTCGGAGATTTAAGAATTTAAAAATATTCAACATCCAAAAATTCATGTGCTTCAAAATTTGTGTAGAATTTTCAAAAATTTACCAATTGAACGAGCTAGCAAATTTTAACTTTAAAAATGTAAAAGCTTGAAAAAGTAATTCACAATAGTCGGCAAAAGGGATAAAACTATATCAACTGAAATTGCAAAGTGTCGAAAATCGTTTTATCCAGCTCAAAACGATTTATCTGTACCGATTAAAACAGCACAATCTGTTACGTAACAAATCAATATCGTGTAAAAAAAGTGTAAATAAACGTTGTACTGTGATTGCAGATTCGGCGGAAGAAGATAAGCGGCTCACAAAGATACTGATCGATTTCCGTACGATCGATTTCGCGAAAGTGGATCGACTAACGTAAGATCCGGTCTCGGAAGGACGGCAAAATATGAGCATCTCGTGAAGTCGGTTTAAAGTGCAGCTTTTAGACATCGAAGGAGTACACGATGGAAACCGACGAGCTCACCAAACTCGTAGACGAGATTTACAAGGTAAGATGGCTCCGATTGTATCGATCTCGAGAGATAGTTTTAACCTACTTACGACATCTTCGATTTTCTCCTGAACGAGAGAAACCGGTGGCAGGAAAGTTTTGCGACACTTTCGATCGAATTGACCAGTGAAACGCTTAATTGCGTAATTAGCTGACATATCTTTCCTCACTTCTGATAAAAACTATCAGCTGTATCTATTGGCAGTTTTTAATTAAGACGGTATAGATTTTTTAAGATATATTTTGTATGATTGGACGTTGTATTCACGAAGTAGTCACGTGATTTATGTGAACAATTTTAAGTTATATGGTTATCGAATAGCGATAGATTCTGATACTAAACAGTATATAGGAAAATTAACGGAACTTTTTAAATTTAAGGAAAATTAGCAAAATAAAACTTCGCAAATTTGGAAATTAAGAATGTAGGAATTTGGAGAATGTAGAATGTGGTATGTCTGAATTCACATGATTTTGAATCTATTTGAGTCCACATAATTTTCAGCCTATCAGATCTACATAATTTTCGATCTTCCTATATTCAAATAATTTTTAATCACAATTCTTACTTGCTCCACATACCAAATTAGTCTAAATCCCAAATTACTCCACATCCCAAATTAGTCCAAATCCTAAATTTGTGTAAATCCCAAATTACTCCACATCCCAAATTAGTCTAAATCCCAAATAAGTCTAAATTCCAAATTACTCCACATCCCAAATTAGTCTGAATTCCAAATTAGTCTAAATCCCAAATTACTCCACATCCCAAACTAGTCTAAATCCTAAATTTGTGTAAATCCCAAATTACTCCACATCCCAAATTAGTCCAAATCCTAAATTTGTGTAAATCCCAAATTACTCCACATCCCAAATTAGTCCAAATCCTAAATTTGTGTAAATCCCAAATTACTCCACATCCCAAATTAGTCTGAATTCCAAATTAGTCTAAATCCCAAATTACTCCACATCCCAAACTAGTCTAAATCCCAAATTAGTCTAAATCCCAAATTACTTCACATCCCAAATTAGTGTAAATCCCAAATTACTCCACATCCCAAATTATTCTAAATCCCAAATTACTCCACATCTATGCTAACATTGTGTGAGCCCAGCGGTGTATAGATGAAGGGATGTATTTCGAATAAAAAAATTAATTTTGACAAAATAATTCTTTTCTTTCTATTTAAACCGTTCCATCATTTTTCCGACGTGTACCGACGTCTATCATTTTTGCTGTGTATCTGCACAATTAATTCATCACACGAAGACTTGATTCAGCAGCACAAAAGTTCAGCATACGATCCGTTTACCCTCCATCTGTCCCCCAATTGCGTTTACGCGAAGCAACTAGACACCAACACACACCACAGAATTTCCCGATAATTAGGTGTCGCCCCGGAAAATTATCCGTCGCGAGTACAAGCGTCGGAGAAGTAAAAGCAAGAGGGTAGGGATCGAAGAGTCGTAAACGTTGTACGGCGTTCACGGGAGCGAGAATGATTAGGCGGAAGGTAATCTTATTAGTCGTTCGACAGTCAAGCGTTCCTTTAAACGCCATCCCCTTCGGTAAAGGTGGAAATTCCTTCGCGCCCCATTATGCACGCAGACGTAGCCACTAATGACGAGTATTTTGCTGAAAATACGAAAACCGGTAATACTCGTCGATTAAATCGCCTGCATCATAAATTATTTCAGGGTGCTTACACCCCTAAATATATTTTAATATATCGAAATTTTCTGAATTTTTTTACATTTTGTTGAAGACAAATTCTTCAATTCTTGAAAACAAATCCGTAGCTTTTAAACTCCGAGCTTTGTTACGACGTCAATGAAGTCTGCATCGAAAAAAGCAGATCGCTGTAACAACTTAACGATTCAATAGTACAGTTCCCTTTTGTCAACTAAAGATTCTTTGCAACTCGGACGAGCAATATCTAAAGGCATTGTAACAATTTCAAGAATTTCCTGCAACTATGTTTTAAAGAGGTTCATTCAATTCTCCATAATTTTCCTGGCAACAATCAAATTCCGTGACATAATCGGTAAAGAAGGCAGGAAAAATCGCGAGCTGTTTGAAACATCCCGGAAACGAGATTTCTATGAAGCTTATTATGTTCGGATATAATAAGTCCGTCGTAAAGAGAGTCGTTCTCATAACGAAAGAAAGTCTAAATCTTCCAGTAACCTTCCAGGCGCACTTAATGCGAGTTATAAAATTGTTTACACTAATTATTCTCTTCCTCGATGAAGTTAAGGTGTTCGAGAGACAAAGAAGGAAGAGGAAACAATTACGTCGTTTTATTCCGATCGGAAATCGTTAATAAAATAAATTGGAGAAACTGGGTCCGAGGGTTGAAGACCAATTAAATATGACCGAAGTAATTAATATTTCCGTGAATTGGTTCGTTAAGACACCCTGGCCGAGAATTAGTAACACTCTCTTCCACCTTTTCACTTTCCCCGCAAACCCACCACCATAAATTCAGCGGACGCTGGAGTTATTAACGTAATTACCGGTGAAAAGCTTATAGGGGTGGACTTCTAATTTACACTCCGGTAATCGATCTAACGTTCAGACGAAATAAACTTTTTTCTGGAGAACATTCTGAATTTTTAGATTCATAAATTATTAAATTTTTAGATTGGCAGATTTTAGCATTGGTAGATGTGGATCTATGTCTGAACAGATGTAATTCGGAGATTTCTAAATTCCGAAATTTGCATTTATATTAGATAGTCCTAAGTGTAAGCTGGAATACCTTCCAGTCTAATATTCACCCTGGAGACATACTATTTACTATTCCTGGCTAGACCTGGGTTAGACCTGGGTTAGATTTGGTATTTCAGTGTCATCGATAACTTTTGAAACGTCTGAAGAGGAAGAAATTACCACTACCCCAAAAATGAAGGAGGACATATGATATACCACATATGTGGAAAGATCCACGTATGATATACCGTATACCCTATACCCTAAACAGATCCACATATGATATACCTGTACCTTATACCTATAACCCAAATAGATCCACATATGATATACCTTATATCCCAAATAGATCCACATATGATATACATACCTTGTACATTATACACCAAATAGATCCACATATGATATACCTTGTACCTTATACCCTAAATAGATCCACATATGATATACCTTAACCCTATACCCCAAGTAGATCCACATATGACATACCTTATACCCTATACCCTAAAGAGATCCACATATGACATACCTTATACCCTATACCCCAAACAGATCCACATATGACATACCTTATACCCTACATCCCAAATAGATCCACATGTGATTACATCAAAAGTAGCATATGAAGTGTCACCACTAATTATGTGCGTATCCATTCTTCAATACAATAATTCACAAAAGTATAATCGATCATCAAACGTTCCTCGAACACATTCGACATGCGTTAAACGTCCAAGAATTTACATGCGAATTACGCAACAGTTACCGGTGTTGATTATTCAGTTAACACGGGAGAACGGTTACAGGGCAATGCGAGCGATTTTCAGGTTAAAGTACACGTCCGTGATCGGTGTCCGGATGCTGTTGTGTCCAGGGTAATCCCAGATAATCCTTTAATTTTTGCGAACCCGATTTTACACGCGGATCGTCGAGACGGCGAGTATGCAGCCGGTTAACACTGCACGCACGATGGCATGCAAAGACCGAGTTATTTGAATCTGCTGACGCATATATTAATCATCTGGTCCATTCGTGTGTCGATACACGTGATATTGTGTGAAGCTTCATGTGTAGATGCACGTGTTATGTATGTTGATATTGTGTTAATATGTTCTTTAGTTTTTGCACATATGATGTCATATGTGGAATCACACGTCAATTGTTGTATATTGTGTAGTGATATGAAAGGGACTTATATGAACTTCACATGATCTTGTACGAATGTTCTTCAGATTTTGCACATATGCTTTCATACGTGGAATCACGTGTTAATTGTTGTTACATATTGTGTAGTGATATGAAAGGGACTTATATGAACTTCACATGATCTTATACGAACTTGACGTGGACTTATATAATCTTGACATGATTTTATACAATACATGGTCTTATATGAGCTTCACATGATCTCATACAATAAGTTTGACATAGTCTGACATAAACTTGACATGATTTACAGTTAAACTAGCCCACATATGTACTATATTTTGACACATGTGTATGTCATATATTTTGACACATGTGTATGTCATATATTTCGACACATGTGTACGTCATATATTTTGACCATACGTATATCCTATATGTTGACCATATGTATGTCCTATATTTTGTTCATATGTGTGTCTTACATTTTGACCACATGTATGTCCTATATTTTGACCACATACTATTATATTATAGTCTACATTTAGATTCCATAACAGAGTGCACATCTATATCCTACATCATAGTCCACATTTATATCTTATATCATTGTCCATATTTATATCCTACATTATAGTCCACTTCTACTAAATATTGCACAAAATAAATATTTAACCAAGAATATATTTTTTAACTCAGCATCTTACTCCAGAAAATAAACAAAGAGTACAAGCAATAATGCAGATCAATGAGCGACATAAACTGGATTGTTAGCATTGAATTGGATTATTAGATGTTCTAAATAAATTACCAGGTATTTGTGTAGCGTGTGCGGGCACACGTACACGATCACAAATGCAATTTGGTCAGGGGTTGCAACGCCTCGCGGGCACCTGTTTCATGGGGTGTCTCGATGGTGGTCTCGATGTGGATCGGAAGCCAATTAATATCCACCGACATCCTTCTCTCAGCCACGGTTTCCCTATGGTGAGCCACCGGAATATACCCCGTTGAAACATAACTGCGCCGTTCGTGATATACTCGCGCCATGGGGCTCTCGCTTGTCGGCGATGGGACCCCATAAACCTCGTCATGCGATAACGACGTTAACCTGTAGTTACCTCGTTATTTTCTAACAG